ATTGGAGGTTGGAGTATATTTATGTTTACGACACTTTAGCGGTCGAAACATGACGGCGTAGGGAGTGATGGTTGGGATCCGATCTGGTGGTGGGAGTTCGATGTCGCTTCTCTCTCTATATATAGGACTCTAGTGTATCCTTACAAACTTTTATAACCGCAAAAATTACGTATATCCAAAAAAAATTGTCCAGCCGTATTTTACACTCGCATCTTTATAAAGTCCATTTTATATTAGACGCAAGCCGATTGCAAGTTTGTTGCAACAGCCAATCTGATTGTGTCGATTTCAAAATGTAAGCTTCAGATTGGCTGTCGCAACAAACTTGCGATCGACTTACGTTTAAAGCCCATTCTACAATTGCGTAAGTGTAGTTGTAAATAGTTGTAGTTGTAAGAATTGATCAATCACTGTCGAATATGAGAAGAATATTCAACTGTGATTGGTCAATTCTTACAACTCCATCACTTACAACTACGCTTACGTAATTGTAGAATAGGCTTAATATAGAATGGGCTTAGGGTTGCTGCAGACAAAATTTCTGTAACAGTAACCTTAAGACGTGAACTTCAGCCGATGAGCCAGTGAGGATACTGCTTTAGATCTACGTAATCTGACGGAAATAGAAATAGCAGTAAACTTATCTATAAGGCGAGTTTCAACCAGTTGAAATTCGCCTTATTGCGAGGTTATGGATAAGTTTACTGTTATTTCCATTACCGTTAGATTACGTAGACCTAAAGCAATATCCTGATTGGCTCATTGGCTTAAGTTCACGTTTTAAGGTTACTGTTACGGAATTTTGTCTGCGAGGACTTTTAGGCCTATTACACGATAGGATCACCGTAAATCGTAAGAAATTAACCTATAACAGTCAATTATTTTTGTCACATTCAACTGTGATTGGCCAATTTCTTACGGCTTACAACTTGCGACTCTATTGTGTAACAGGCCTTATGCCTGTTCTACAATAGAGTCGCAAGTTGTAAGCCGTAAAAAATTGGCCAATCACAGTTAAGTATGAGAAGAATAATCGACTATAATTGGTTAATTTCTTACGACTTACCGCTTATGACTCTATAGTAGAATTAGCATTAGGAGAAATGCGACTGGATAATTTTCTTCATGCATACGTTTATACGGCTATAATATGCAAGTTTGTATGGGTATATGCTAAGGGCCGTATTAATGCCCATATCAGACTACGGATTGACGTTTACGATTGACGATTATCCGGTTCTACTTCAACCAATCACGATGTAGCGAGTCTATCATAATTGGCTGAAACAGAACTGGGCAA